ATCCGCTGCCTTTGGAAGACATGTATGACACAATCCTTCCATCGCCCAACTCCAAGCACAGCCTCCCAGAGTATCTGTCAAGGAGAGGAGAATCCAAACTGGAAGCATTCCATGACAAGTTTGCCCATTTCGCCAATAGTGGCATGAGAAGAAGTCTAGCAGATGCCCTCAACCTTGCAGGAACAGCCAGATACAACCTCAACATTCGACACAAGAGAGCCTTCCTGTCAAGAATCAGTCTGGAAGAAAGGAGGTCAATTCCAGCTGGATGGGAAAAGGTTGTTCCATACTGGAACCATTCAGAATTGGCTTACCTCAATGAGCTAGCAGTGGCTGTGGGTCTCAATGAACCATTTCCTACTGCAGAGCCATTGCCACAGGATAATGGAGAGAGGTTCTTTTCAGAGTTCATTGTTTCATTCAAACCACAAAGGCAGAAGTATGCACCCAATGATTGTTGTCTTTGTGCAGCTTGCACTGGAGCACCACTGAGTCCACCAGCAATCCAGCCACCAAGTCCACCAGCAATCGATCCACCACCTCCACCAGCAATCGGTCCACCACCTCCACCAGCAATCGGTCCACCACCTCGAACAGAACCACCAGCAATCGGTCCACCACAGCCACCTCCACCACCAACCCAACCAGCTGTGGCACAAACAAGAAATGCTTATGTTGGTAATTTGATTCTATACCAGCAACAACAACAAATTCAAATGATGCAACTCGCCATGCAAATGCGGCAATTCCAACCAATACTGCCATCTCCTTTCCAGCCACCACCACCAAATGGCTGCTGTCAAAGATTCTGCCAGTGGTTGACTAACAGGAGAGGAAGACCACCCCATGATGCCTATTGCCAATCTCGATTGACTGGGTATGCTGGATAGCAAAAACATATAAGATTTAGATGCATCAAATTCATTTCTACTGTAGCCATTAACTTACAGTAAGGTTCCACAATGGACAGCATGGTGTGGTTGCAAGAATCCAAGGTTCAGCATGTCTTCAATGCAATCATCAACAAAAGTCTCACTCATCAAAGTCAATATCTTGAAAGAGATTTGGTTGTTGTAGTCATACCAGTGAGAACAATACCCATGCCAAGCATCCATCACAATCTGTCCTTCATTGGAGGATAAGTCATAGCTCTCACTGATCCTTTCCCTCACTAACCAATAGATGCACTCAATGAAGATGTCCTTCCTTTCACATGGTTCTGTCCCCACCAGCATTTCAGAAAGGGTGGAGATAACTTTATGGTACCATTTTGGACTTTTCTGAAGGCCCCAATAAAACATGTAATCCATGATGTTTGTCATGTCAGGAGGAAGAGGCTTGCATTCTCCTTGTGAGATAAGATCCTCAAGAATGGAAACATGGTCGAAAGCATTTGTGGGCACGCAGCTGTACTTCTGGTTGCTGTTGATATCACAAATGACATACTTGCAGGTGAATCCATGTCTTGTTGCCCTCAGCTCATTGAATGGGTATGCATTAGCAACACTCAGCAGCCACTGCGAGAAGGAAGGACTTGTAGTGATCCTCATTGTTGAACAAAACTGCGAGCGAATTGTAGGTGGAGCGTAGCGAGCGAAATGGTAGGAGCGGAGCGATCGATCGATATTGGAGGAGCCGAGCGACCTAAATGAATCAAGAAACCATGTTAGACAACAGTATTAGCAGTAGCAGATAACAGCAATAACACCATTGTCGACCATTCTCTTACCTTATCGACAACAAGAACAAGAACAAGAACAACAACAACAACAGAAGCGACAAAAGTGATTCGGAGATTCGGAGATTTGAATTGTGGGAAGTGGGAAGGTGTGGTTTGAGCGAGGGAATGGGAAAGAGCGAGCCAGAAAAAAAATACGTTGCATCGAACATATCGATTCAAATTCGGAGTCAGTGTGAGACCAACGTCAAAAGACCTCTTCGATGACGTATTTGCTGACACTTACACTGTTCTTCGGACGTTTCTGAGTGGGGAGATGTCCATTTTATATAGAGTGTTGATTGGGTCACTGCCAAATCCCCCTTCAACGATAAGTATGCAATCTTGTTTCGGTGTCTCCGAATGACTCCGTTTGACTTTGTTCTCTGGCCGGCACGCTTTCGAATTGGAATCGGGAGTTTAACCCTCTCCCTTTTTTTCTTTCTTTTCTTTTTCCCTCCCCCGCGCTGCTGTCTAACCCCCCCTAAAAGTCTCCGGTGGCGCCAACCACGGAAACTGAAATGAGGGCTGTCAGCTGGTTGGCCAACTGGCAGGGTTTGCTTCACTAGTAGATACAACTACCCCTTGAGCAAGCCAGTGATAGGGAACCCTAGCAGCACTGCTCCCAGCTAGAGCTATCCTGACTTCAGCCAGTTAGCATTAGCTAGCTACCCACCAAGCAACTCTCCCAGCTAGTGGTGTGGCTCCCTCGCAGTTCTCCCAGCTCATTCTCAGCCAGTGATACCGTAGCCCTAGCAGTTCTCCCAAACTAGCTCCATCCCCAGTTCCCAGCCCTAGCTAGCCATTCTCTCAGGTCTTCTCCAACTTCCATCATAATACCCAGTTCCAGTCCAAGTACCATGGCTCTGCTAAACTACCCGGAACCGGACCCGGACCCGGAACCGGACCCTACCAAGCTAAAGCTACTAGTACCCAGACCCGGAAGCGTCTTGTACGAAGCTAAAGCTACTAGTACCTGGAACCGTACCTCACCATGCTACAATCGTAAAGCCAGTGGTACGGTACAGAAGGCTTAAACCTGAACCCTAAAAACGTTCAAACCAGAACCCTAAAAACGTTACGACGACAGACGAAAAACTAAAAGGACACCGGAGGTGTAATAGATATACCGGGCGAGCTGAATTAAAAGATGGGCCGGCATAGTAATATTGTTGAAGTTTGGCTGAAGTTAGTGTCATTAGATTTTTTTCCATCCAAGCAAGTGGCTTGGTAGCTTAAGGGAGTTTAGAGGTGTGCAACGTGAGTCGTTAGATTTTTCCGTCCGAGCAAGCGGCTTGGTAGCTTAAGGGAGTTTAGAGGTGTGCAACGCAAGTCATTAGATTTTTCCGTCTGAGAAAGCGGCTTGGTAGCTTTTAAGGAAGTTTAGAGGTGCGCAATGTGAGGAAATTATTAGGATCCATTGCTATGATTATGAGAATGTGTGAGAAATTCGGATAATGGCGGGCTGAAGTCACTTAGAGAAAACCGTAACCCTAAGGATGACCAACCAAACCCACCACCACCACAATAAGGCACCGCAGGTGTTGTAGAAATAGTGGGAGACTGTGAGGCCAATCGTGTGGAAGGAAGTAAAGAAGTATAAGATGGAGTACATGTACCGGTAGAGATGAAAATCAACCAATAAAAGAAACAAAGGGGGGCTAAAGTCCAGTTTATGAGAACTCTAGCTAGGCCTAAGTTTGACCCATCAACCAACCAACCACTACCACCACCACAATAAACAGGTTCAGAGATCACCGGGGTCTGCCCGGTATATAAATTATAACCTAGCCAACTTCGTGGTTGGCGATTGCTCCAAGCAAGCGAAAATCACACTGTATTAGGCGTCTCAGCCCTTGTGTGCCACAACCAAGGTCTCTTCCATACCTAGCAACCA